GCAGGTTTTGTCAGCCCTCCCAAATATAAGTATTGGCCCTATCTATGGTGTGGTGGAGGTAGAAGTTTTGGAAAGCAACACTCTTTCTCTTATCCTGGGGTGAAGACTGGTTTGCGGCAGTGCAAGCTTAGTTGGTCCTTCAGCTACCACAACCTACGCAGCTACAACATCTTTCTCCGGGTGTAACGCCCCTAGCCACTCAGCGTCTCGTCCTGCAAATGGCCAATACTGTCATTTTAGCACATTCAAACTTTTTCCCGCCGTCTAAACCACCACAAAACTGCCTTAAACGAGACCTATAACGAGTGACAATAGAGCCTCGTTGGCAACCTTTGGCCGCTACTACACTGCCACTCGACCAAACTTCTGTCGTGCCACTATGCTGGACTACCAAGCTTCTAGTTATCTACCCCGACCTGCCACCAGCTAACTTAGGCCGTGAGATCTCCCGTGAAAATCACTCCACCATTTCTGACAATCTGGCTAGTAATAACCATGACGTGCCCATCCAAGAAGCAGCTGAGGTATTCGACAGGTCATTGTTTCTGCCTAAACGCATTCCTGAACCTGGACCACTTGAACGTCCTGAAATGGCAACGCCGTCGGACCTTACAACACCGATCAACGTCAAAGTAAATCAGAAGAGCAAATCAGAATCGAAAAAGTTTGAAACAACTATTTTCATTGTGACGTCTAATACCCTCGGAACTCAAGCTATGAGACACCTGAACTGAGCATTCCAGCGTACTTTTCACTGAAGCCTAGAGAACTCCACGTGAAGTGTATGAAAAATCCTCAACAGCGTCCAAGCCACAGAGATTCTGTTCACTTCCTCTTCTTCCTTACGGCGCTCTTGTGTATTTGGCTGTTAGAGATCTTCTTGAAGGCAAGGATGAAAGTGGTGGACATGCGGCTACCAGCAAGAAAACTGTTTCTATGGTGATCATCACACACAAACGTGCATGTCCACTGCAACATGCTTGTCCCCATATGATGATTTCTTCTTCTCTGCACGTTCGAAACCTGCTTCGCAAATAGCTGCACATGTAGCTGTAGCTACAATCCTTCTTGGTAAGAAGCGCAGCAACTATTACACAGAGCACACAGCAAAAGCCTTAACTTCAACTAAACGTTTATTGGAAATGTCAGAGTTTATAAAGGGGTGAAAGAGAAAAAAATAATAATAAAATGCAGACCAACAAAAAATTCTCAAGCATTTCCCCGAGGGTGAACATGGTTAAGTGCGAATACACGGGGTGATGCTATGAGGGGTATTTATTAATTCGCACTATTATATTTATTAATCACACAATGGTGCCTTTATGGTGTAATGGTTCCTGGGAATCGCAATTTGATCACACGGGGGAGTTTACGTTAACTCACTGGCGAACGCCAACGGATTTTAACTTTACTCCCCCTCATAGCATCACCCCGTGCATTCGCACTTAACCACGTTCACCCTCGGGGAAATGCTTGGGAGTTTTATTACTGACGATGATGATTAAAGTTTAATTAATGAATTTAAGTGTTGTTTGTCATTAAGCATTTGTACACAGATACAATATATACGAAGTATTGTTTATTTACACTTCACGACGCGTCCGGATGAGTAAAGTCCAGGGCTTGCACCCTCTCCCGCGCGGCACGTTCACTGGCTCGAACGGCTTCGGGAACGTCCACTGGCCGTTGACGATTGCGAGTGGCGTCTTGACACCGGCCTTCATCGCCCTTCTCCGCCTGACGCTTGCGTTGTCGTTCCGCTTCTTGGGCCGCGTTCGCGGCTCGACGCTGACGCCTCATCTCGGCCTCGCGAGCGCGCAGTTCACCATCCGCTGCACGCTTCGCCCGCTTGTCCTCGACCTCGTGAGCGCTAAGTTCGGCATCCTCTGCACGCTTGGCCCGCTTGTCCTCGGCCTCGCAAGCGCGCAGTTCGGCATCCGGCGCAGGCTTCGCCCGCTTGCACTCGGCCTCGCGAGCACGCAGTTCGGCATCCGCTGCACGCTTCGCCCGCTTACGTTCGGTCTCACGAGCCCTTCGCAGCGCCACCTTGTTTCCCAACGTCGGCGAAACCACCGTGGTACCGTCACCTCCAACGACGGGTGCAGTGCTGGCATTCGGTAGTACTGCATTCGTTGTTGATGGTAGCGTTGCTTCCGACATCTATCACACGACCCGCTCTCGACGGGAGACTGATAGAGAAGGCGGGCGCGCGAGAGAGAGGGGTGCGTGCGCAGCTGCAGTGAGCGAGGAGAGCGGAGCAGCGAGCGAAGGGGGAGGGGGTATAAGGCGCGTTACTGACACCGATATCAGCGTCGCGTCCGTGGCTTATTCGGTAGAGCGTCGCGCTGCGGCCTGCCAAGTCCTCTTTCTTTTAAAGATAGAGAGAAGACTGCGGACGCCGCCGACGGCGGTGGATGGTTTGGGGTCGCTTATAAAGTGTATTCACACTTAAAAGCACACGTGCCAGTCTCGTACATTGCTTATACGTTCTTATCTATCACCCCATCCAAAAAACTAAGTTTTTTCCACGTGAGCGAGTTCGAGGGTGCACTAACACACTCAAAACCATCACGTGTCATTTCCGCTGAATCTCTGTCCCGATATAACACGCAAATTTTATCGAAATACAGGATGGACTCATACCAACTGGCCCGATACGATTGTTTATTGTGTAGCTAGAAAGCTAGAAAATGCGCTACTGCAACAACATGATTCTCCACAGAAATCACTGTGGGAGGTGCGTGCACACGCTTGGTCTGAGCAGACGTCTCTATTGCCGGTGAGTTGCCCTCCACTTAAGTCCCAGAAGAAACTAGCATGAGCAACTTCGACTAGCGGCGACCGCAGAGTGTGCACTACATTTTCTTCGCCAGACGACTTTGTGCTTGAGTGAGCGTGGAGGCCACGCGAGACCAAGAGACTTGGTTATCCTGGGTGAGGTAAAATGTGAGTGAAGTACTAGCGCGCTTAGCAGAAACCAGCAAAGCAGTCGGCCACAGCGTGTTTTTGTTTCCGGGGTTCGTCTCTGCGTCGTAATTCCAGCGCAACGAACTCAGGTAGTCGAGTCGAAGACGTTGACACGTCACAACGTTGTCTTACCATGTGCGTAGACTAACGGAGCCTCTATAAACAGTTTATTATTACGCTGAAAGTCTTCCGATGGCCTGCCCCAGCCTCACACTAGCCACTTTATTTGCAGCAGTAACAATTTAGAACACAGTGAATTATGGCTCACAAAAGCCGCATTACCAGATCGCAAGGTGCTTAAAAAATCTGCAGATTTATGGAATGGCCAGCTCTTCTACGTGCACTTACTGCAGCTGCGAAGGAACCATCGTCCACCTTGTATGGGAGTGTACACATTTCAAAGCGCCAAGGCAAGAACTTACTGAAGCTCTGGATAGACTAGATGATCGGCACTTGTCGAAACAAAAGATTCTGGGTCATTGGCCGAGTACATTTAGCCCAGAAGGCTTTGAAGGCTTTGTCACGCTTTTTGCGGACAATTGGTCTCAGAGACAGACTTTACGGTGTTATTCTCTTTGATATCACTTTTCTTCTATCGCTACTCTTTGTAATTTCTCTCTCTCTCTCTCTCTCTTTCTTCGCAAAATTCCTTTTCTATCATCTCTTATTCTCCTCACCCTTTTTCCCAGCGCGGAGTCGCCATCTTTCTTTCCGCTTAGTCTTTCCTCCTGTTCCTTAAGTAATTTTAAGGCAAATGCTGCTTTTTGTTTGTCTCATCAGTCTTTTAAAACCACTATATATTTAAGCGAAAGCGTTCAGTGTCTCATGCTTGCGCCCATCTTTCCGTTCATTTACCTGTGCCTCCTTGTATGGTCATATATCTCAGCAGAGTCATTATTCAGACCCACAATTGTGTCGCTGGTTTCATTGCGGAAATTCGAACATCCAGGTTAATTTTATTCGATATTCTGACATCACAGAACAACCAATCATAATATTATAAGCAGGTAGCAAATTATATGAATACTCCCTATTTTCGTTCACAAACACTGCGATTTGAGAGGGAACCAGCTGGGGCGACCGTTTTTCACAATAGAAAAACAGGTGCGCCAGCAAGCAATTCCATAGCAAGCGGTTCGGTGAAGCGCCACAAGATTAGTGATTCCCCCTATACAAAATGCTATACCATACGCTACACATGCACAAAAAACAACAAATGAACTAAAAATACATGGCAGCGTCAATTGAATGACCACAGGTTTTCACCGAACACACTTGGGAATTCATAAGGTGTCCTTCAACTTATTGCGTGGGTTATTGGGTACACTTCTTTTTGTCTGCATACAACAGCGTTCGTACATATATAACGATCATGCAATGACGCAATTTGCGGGCCATGAGAAATATTCCACACTCTTATTTTTTTGTTTCTTGTATGAATACTCACAACTTTAAATGCTATGAAGGAGTCCAAATAGCAGAGCTCTGTACGCTGATCGATTTCAATACAAGTTAATAAACGCCAGATGGGCGAAATTTTCGGACCCCTCTACTGCTTTGTGCCTGATAGTCATAGTGTATTTTTGGCACGTAAAACGCGTGACATTAATCTAACATTAATGCCATTCTGTTATCACAGCCCATGTGAGAACTGTTGTCTCAGGTGGGATCACGACATCTGGCGTGACTAGTTTTAAGCCTCTCTTTCTTGGTGTAATGATGCCTGTCCAATTTAAAGTACTTTCACCTTTATGTCTAAAGTCATTTCTTTTTGTAGAAATGCCAGCAGAAAGATTGTAAAAGCTCCTCGCGGCACGTTTCGCTTGCACACGCTCTCCTTGTGAAAAACGTGCAAGGTTGTTATCTTTTGATTCCTGCATAAGACGAGTGTAATTTTTGAGCATATCTCTACAAACAAATATTCTTTTTTTTGTTAATGTGTTATCGGGTGCACTTAATAGCATGTCACCTGCTCTAGTGTTAACGATCTCATGGTACAAAAGTTTCTAACGAGTGCACGTATCGTGTTGCAGGCAGATGACGATGGCGAAAACAAGACGCGACTTACTGGATATTGCCTGGATGGAATATGCTACCCCACTGATCACGATAACGTAACCCACCTTCCCACACCAGAAAATCCCATGTTAGGATGAAGCTGAAAGATTAACATATCAGAAATAAATTTCACATTTTACGTGAAAACCAATGCGAATTGCCATTTACAGAGAGTTACATGCGAAATATCTATCTCTGAGAATAAATGAAATCACAGAATAGTTGAGAATTCTGAACTTGGTGCATAAAGGAATTCATACACTCACCAATTAAAAAGAACACAAAACAACAAAATGGGCGCCCAGTATACGTTTCGGGGCCCAGTAAGGTTACCTTGTTCACAATGAACAACTTTTCTTCGCCAGACAAGTTTTTGTCAAACAATAGACTTCATATATTAATTCCTCGCACTACAAATAAAAGAAAACAGTTTGGATGACTCAATAAACTATCTTATAGAATGTTTCACGCATTCACAATTATTTAGACACCTACTAGGAGCCTTACCAGCCGCAGCATTGCACTTTGTTGGTGAGAGAGAATAACGCCGTTGATTGTAGAAGAGGGGTTGAGGGGTGAGAAAGTTTGGCATTCCTTCGTTTTTTTTCAGTCGTTGGTCACAATCATCAGTGACCGCCTCATCTGTACTGACAACCTGGTCTCAGCGTTCCAGTTGAGCAGTACTATCTCCCATTCTCCCATGGCTTCGTTGTATATATAATTTTTCTTGCTTTGTGGACGGTGATGACGACGCGGCAAGCACAAAGCATGTGTATGAGGCTCGCAATAGCTATGCATTTTGTATACGTGTCACTTAACAGTTCTGGTTATCAGTGACTATATAAGTAGAACTGAGTTAGAGTACATACCCATGGTCATGTGTCTTGGAACTGACAAAAGCATACAGCTCAAAAAGCAGCGAGAAGAGAAAAAGTACTTCAAGTTATACTGAAACATTGCAGAGAAATTCTGATAACCTACAATACAATGCGTTACTAGTACTCGACTAGGTAAGCTATTCAGGTGAAAAATAAGACCAAGTCTTCACGCGGCCTTCAGGGTTCAGTTTACGTAATGAAGACGGCAAGTTAATAAAGACACCTGAAGACCATATGGTATATTGGTGCCAACGTCATCATGAAACGCGCTGCCATTGGAAATATGTTCAGGTATCATCCCAAAATGAATGCAGACTGTGCTGGAGAGGTGAATAAAGTAATCAGAGTGACCTACAGTATGAAGAATTCCAAGCCAGACAACGACGTTAGGGGGACAAGTGAGTTGAAGAGAACAAACGTGTGAGGTAGAACAAGAGGAAGCATCGTGTGTGCAGTTATTCAGTGCAGTTTTCTGTAAAGTTCTGTGCACTTTGTGGTATCTTAGCTACCTAAACAGTAGTGATCAATGAACTCTCTGCAATTATCTATACACTCTGAGAAAAATGTGTAGCATTTTACTAATATCCGTACCACGAAACTATGGTTTGACCGGCTATGGCGGGCGCATTTTTGATAGAGGCAAAAAGCTTGAGAACCGAGTACTTAGATTTAGGTGCACATTAAAGAACTCCAGATGATCGAAACTTTCAGAGTGCTCAAGTAAAGCATCTTTGATAATAATATTATGTTTGTTTATCAGTCAAGTCATTTTGAAGGAGTAGTGACATCAACTTGACGCATGTTGCGGTTTTTGCGTCCACCCGTAGTTATAGACATCTGGTAACTGTTTGGTATTATTAATGCAACACAGGAGGGAATTAATATATGTGATATGGATTCGTATGACTACCGAACGTAGAAGGTGAGACGTAAACCCGCAAAGGCTCATGGTAGACACCGTCCGCATCGGCTTCCGGTTCAAGATATCCATGGCGCTCTGTTTCGCTTCTCGATTGTGTTGTAATCTAATCACCCGCTGAATCATGGCTGGTTGTGCAGCTGTCGGTTGCTCGAGTTCGAGCACCAATGAAATAAAGATATTAGGATTCTCTTAGAAGAAAATTGAAGTATGTTTGTGGTAATAAAAAGAGCCACAGTGAGTGGTGGAGCCTTTTCATGCTTATAGCGTCTGGTGGGTGATATGTGTCCCAAATCCTGAATTGATTGTTTAATTTGTCTGACACACGTGGTACTTACGTACAGGTGCTCCCAGCGAAAATCCACGGCAGGTTGATTGCGTCCCGTCGACATTGTGGCACGAGGGAAAAGGAACTGAGTTGTCAAGACGGAAGCATGAAAGGCATTTGGATGTGTTGTCTTTCATCAGCACAACCGCAATCATTACGCCACTACGACAAGCATAATACGGCGTTTACGCTAAAACGCATACTTAGTTAGTTTCAGGTCTATTCACTCTTTTCTCGGCGTGGTCTGGCATCACTCCGTTTAGACAAGTGTGTTTCACTGCACAGACGTGCCCACGCTTGCTCTCGTCATTCGACAGACATACACAACGTTTTCGTGGCGTGCTTGTTGGCTTCTCAAGAAGACCGTGTTTTTTTGTGTGCGTGAACTGCAGCGTGGATATGTGATGCGCTTTGTTCACTGGGTATTCGCGATTTGTACGGCTGAAAATCCGGACAGTTGGGCGATGCTGTGTGGCACATTGTTGCGACAAAGGTACTGAAGTTGCGAGTGTTCTCGTTTCTTAAGGACAACTGAAGAATGAAATGAGGGCGGGTCATTAGTCAAGCTGACATCGACATCGGTTTTCTTCGTGACCCGAAGGTACGTGTGCCCGTACTAGATATATTTAAGCCGTCTCAGTGGCACCTTCTTCACTATGTTTTGTTCTTCGTCTAAAACGAAGGTGTCATGTGTGCTTCTGACTTTGTGTAAGCGCTGTTAATAAAATATTAAACCTAGACCCGCCGTGGTGGTCTAGTAGCTAAGGTACTCGGCTGCTGACCCGCAGGTCGTGGGATTAAATCCCGGCTGCGGCGGCTGCATTTCCGATGGAGGCGGAAATGTTGTAGGCCCGTGTGCTCAGATTTGAGTGCACGTTAAAGAGCCCCAAGTGGTCAAAATTTCCGGAGCCCTCCACTACGGCGTCTTTCATAGTCATAGGGTGGTTTTGGGACGTTAAACACCACATATAAAAATGGTAAACCCACGTGACAGTACATCTTAAGAACAGACGTTTTTTATACAGGGTCAGTAAACATTTTTCAATTGGCGCCGCGGTCTGGTAATACCTTTGTTGACATGGGTAATGAAAATAGTAGAAATGCTGTGCATTACTTAGTGCCTCGTTTTTGTGCATAGTATTTTCTTGCCGTCGTTCATATCATGTTATTGCAGTATTATTGTGGTCAGCACCTTAGTCTGATATGTTTCCTTGAATTTTAGATGCGTTTAGACACACACAGTGAAGCGATTTCTTAATCAATTTTCAGGTGTGTAATCTATACTTCAATCTAGAATAATTAGGAGCCACTGCCAAAAATATACCGGTCCAAGAACCGGCAGTTCGATAGATGCGCCCATAGGGGCTTTATTCTGGACACAATACTAACATTTTTCTTAGGCCCCAAGTTGTACGAGGGACTACGCACCCCTGCGAGAGGAGCCAGAGCAAAACAGAAAACGCCCCTTATTGAGTCGGTCACAAAAAGTTTTGTAAAACGAAATAATTTGTTTTCTCGTGCAATGGTCATTTCCCGTATGCTGTAATGAATAACACACTTGTGGCAGCCGCGCGCACTCTCCTCCATATCTTTGTGTCTGTATGAAGAAATATTCTAAATAGTACAAATAAAACTGCCGACACTTTGCAAATGAGAAGGGAACACTTTTCTGCGTGTTTCTGCAGTTTCTGGATCGACCACACGCTCGATAGCACTCAGTCTTTGATTTTTCGTGAACGAAATGCCCCACAGATAAATCTCAAAACGCTTTCAAACGTAATACATCACTTAAACTAACGCCTTTTTTTTTTGCGCAAAAGGCAGAATAGAGCTATTAGGCATGTAAAACTTGCCGCGAACGCTTTATCTTTTAACGGAAGGGGGTGGTGGCAAAAGATTCCCAGGCTCCCGTACGCGCACTCTCTCGGGTGAAAAGAGTGACGTCATGGCGGCCATGAACAAGCCTCCAAATATTCTTTTACGTGACTTTGAGCCAGTTCTGACCTTCAAACCGAAAGTAGTGTGACACAGCAATGAGCAGCCACACGACATCAGGCCAGCGGTCACGCAGCGCAACCCACGGACTCAGCATATGTCAATGACATCAACTGCAGCGATGTATACACAACCAGCCAGTGGTTCTGAACGCGACGAACTCGCACCAGTGGCAGAAAATGATGTGTCAGTAAGGCTGTGTGGACAAGCGAAATCGCCCCATTTATATTCTACTTGCCCCGCCGCGGTGGTCTAGTGGCTAAGGTACTCGGCTGCTGACTCGCAGGGCGCGGGTTCGAATCCCGGCTGCGGCGGCTGCATTTCCGATGGAGGCGGAAATGTTGTAGGCCCGTGTGCTCAGATTTGGGTGCACGTTAAAGAACCCCAGGTGGTCTAAATTTCTGGAGCCCTCCACTACGGCGTCTCTCATAATCATATAGTGGTTTTGGGACGTTAAACCCCACATATCAATCAATCAATTTATATTCTACTTATATAGCAGGCGTACAATGTGTTGCTGGTAATTTCAAGCGTTCCTCCAAGCATTTCTTTCACGGTAATCAATTTATACAAGCCTGATCTGATGCACACGTGAGAAGAACATGAAACTGCGCGTAATAATTTCCAAAATTATATTTGAGCGCAAACACACTACCCATTCACGCACACACACACCGAGACATCAAACACATACAGCGCTCACTTCCAACTAATCTGTTCATAGCTTGAAGGCTTAAACATATACATGGGGCAAATGCGCACTTTAACATCATAGAAGGCCAACAGCATACACTATGAAGAAGTGCAGTTTGTAATCTCGCAGCCTAGAACCCATAAACAGGGATCCACTTGGGAAATTGATGGCGAAGGGGTGCTTACAGAGTGATCCTTAATTTTTCAATGAAAAAATTTAAAAAACGAGTTGACAAACATGCAGACCTGTTCGCGCATGTCATTTTGTGTAGTTGTGAGGCACGATTCTGTGAGACAAAGGCGTTAGGCAGGAGCGCAAGAAAAAACTTCGCGTAAAGTGCTAGAGGCGTTTTTTTTTTTTTTAGAAAGAAAAAAATAGGGATCACTGTGTAAGCACCCCTTCACCATGATTGTTA